TCTCAAGGTATAGTGTCTTTTCGAGTGCTGGAGGTCCTGGGTTCAAGCTCTGGTGATGGTTGGGATTTTTTTCACCTGGGCTTCTAGTAATTCCCCCCTGTTCTCTGGGTAGTAAGATTGGATGTCTGTGTGTATTATTGTGCATGTAAAAAAATTCCTTGGCTGTTAGCAATAGAAAATAGTACCCTAACGGCACTGCCTGGTCAACATTTGCGGTTAAAAAATCTATTCAAGGTATTTCAGTGGCCTTCCTCTGCACTGAGTTACTTCAAACTGGAGCTTCAGTTAGAGGTAGACAGCCAGGTTCCAAGATATTTATCCCTTTCAAGACAACATCCAACAGTTACATGATGTAGGGCACATAAAATTATGCCCGCTAAAAATAAAGAAAAGAACGTATCCCGCAGAGCGGTGGTAATAGCGCACATATTATCAATTCTTTTATGAAACAATGACAAGAACTGGTTTAAGGTAAAATATACTACATACATTGAAATATTGTAATCTTTCTAATATAATTTAGTTCCAAAATACTAAGCAAAGTCACCAGCTCACCAAGGTTGCGTTATAGTTTTTTTTAATTCAATTCCTCCCTTTCTCACAGGATATGAGATTCTAGAGAAAATGATTTTAGGTGTACAACAGTAACTCATATAAAGTAATTTCCCTTACTCCAAGTTATTTCCCCTTGATAACCAAAAATACAATATAAACACTAAAACTTTTTTTTTTTTTGTATATTCGTGGGAAATAACTGACAGTTACCCTTAACTTTATTTTAGTTATTCCCCATTGATTAAATCAATTTATGGCAACTGCTTATAAGAAGGACAATACTGAATTTCTAGGTAATATGTACCCTCTTGTACAAGTTTAATAGAAGTTATTCAAGTTTGTTGTCCACTTCATTTCATTACTTGGTAGAGCTTTCCCACACTGGCCACACTTGCCCTGCATACTATTACAGATAGGCTCAATGTTCTTCAGAATTACACCATAAATTGCTTTCTTCGTCAGAATGTGATCTCTTTTTTTTTTTGTTCTTCCTTTTCTGCAAAAAGATGTTATTGTTAATTTGACTCTGAAGTGGCCTTTTCCTGACAATTTTCAGGTTCTTATCACGATAGTGTCTGTACGGCGAGAGTTACCTCCCGTCTCATTTATGTTGCAGCCGGTCACACACCATGTCCTATGTTGTGAATATGTCACATATTCTAAGTTTTTTTAAACAGTTTATTCTGTCTTTTCTTGTTTTGTCACTGCTCAGTTGTGAGATTACTGGGACATTGTGCTCTTGCACGATGGTACGTGAGTAGGGAAACTGGGATGTTTTGAAAACTGAACAAAGCCAAACTGAAAACTGCTGATAGAGAATTAAGGCGATCTCTGGCAAACTTCTACACCCCAAAGGTAGAAGAGGAGCGGCTAACTAAGCTTAAAGGTGTACTGGTTAAAAAAGAAAAGTATCAGGTTACTGGGGTGACTGGGAAACTAACTTTCAGAGCCAGGTCTTTCTTTAGTGTTTTTCACCAGTTTCTGACATCCTAGAAAAGGGCTAAAGGGTCGTTAATGTGTGTTCGGGATGGGCTTAGGGGTGACATTCCTCTTTTTAGTCACATATTTCTTTATTTGAATTCGAACATGTAAAATGGTTTCCATGGTTTTTGTTGTTGCTTTCATTCAAGACACTATTTACATGTTCAAAAGAGGGGGGATGGAGGGTTCTCAAGGTATAGTGTCTTTTCGAGTGCTGGAGGTCCTGGGTTCAAGCTCTGGTGATGGTTGGGATTTTTTTCACCTGGGCTTCTAGTAATTCCCCCCTGTTCTCCTGGTAGTAAGATTGGATGTCTGTGTGTATTATTGTGCATGTAAAAAAATTCCTTGGCTGTTAGCAATAGAAAATAGTACCCTAACGGCACTGCCTGGTCAGCATTTGCGGTTAAAAAAATCTATTCAAGGTATTTCAGTGGCCTTCCTGGTGCAACAGAGTTGTGCACTGCACTGAGTTACTTCAAACTGGAATTTCTGTTAGAGGTAGACAGCCATGTTCCAAGATATTTATCCCTCTCAAGACAACATCCAACAGTTACATGATGTAGGGCACATAAAATTATGCCCGCTAAAAATAAGAAAAGAGCGTATCCCGCAGAGCGGTGGTAATATCGCACATATTTCAATTCTTTTATGAAACAATGTCAAGAACTGGTTTAAGGTAAAATATACTACATACATTGAAATGTTGTAATCTTTCTAATATAATTTAGTTCAAAAATACTAAGCAAAGTCACCAGCTCACCAAGATTGCGTTATCGTTTTTTTTAATTCATTTCCTCCCTTTCTAACAGGATATGAGATTCTAGAGAAAATGATTTTAGGTGTACAACAGTAACTCATATAAAGTAATTTCCCTTACTCCAAGTTATTTCCCCTTGATAACCAATAATACAAAATTAACACTAAAACTTTTTTTTTTTGTATATTCGTGAGAAATAACTGACAGTTACCCTTAACTTTATTTTAGTTATTCCCCATTGATTAAATCAATTTATGGCAACTGCTTATAAGAAGGACAATACTGAATTTCTAGGTAATATGTACCCTCTTGTACAAGTTTAATAGAAGTTATTCAAGTTTGTTGTCCTCTTCATTTCATTACTTGGTAGAGCTTTCCCACACTGGCCACACTTGTCCTGCATACTATTACAGATAGGCTCAATGTTCTTCAGAATTACACCATAAAGTGCTTTCTTCGTCAGAATGTGGTCTCTTTTTTTTTTTGTTCTTCCTTTTCTGCAAAAAGATGTTATTGTTAATTTGACTCTGAAGTGGCTTTTTCCTGACAATTTTCAGGTTCTTATCACGATAGTGTCTGTACGGCGAGAGTTACCTCCCGTCTCATTTATGTTGCAGCCGGTCACACACCATGTCCTATGTTGTGAATATGTCACATATTCTAAGTTTTTTAAACAGTTTATTCTGTCTTTTCTTGTTTTGTCACAGCTCAGTTGTGAGATTACTGGGACATTGTGCTCTTGCACGATGGTACGTGAGTAGGGAAACTCGGGTGTTTCGAAAACTGAACAAAGCCAAACGGAAAACTGCTGATAGAGAATTAAGGCAATCTCTGGCAAACTTCTACACCCCATGGGTAGAAGAGGAGCGGTTAACTAAGCTTAAAGGCTGTGTATTGGTTAAAAAAGGAAAGTGTCAGGTTACTGGAGTGACTGGAAAACTATCTTTCGGAGCCAGGTCTTTCTTTAGTGTTTTTCACCAGTTTCTGACATCCTAGAAAAGGGCTAAAGGGTCGTTAATGTGTGTTCGGGATGGGCTTAGGGGTGACATTCCTCTTTTTGGTCACATATTTCTTTATTTGAATTCGAACATGTAAAATGGTTTCCATGTTTTTGTTGTTGTTGCTTTCATTCAAGACACTATTTTCATGTTCAGAATTGGGGGGGGGGGGGGGAGGAGGAGCTTGAGGGTTCTCAAGTGCTGAAGGTCATGGGTTCAAGCTCCGGTGAAGGTTGGGATTTTTTTTTTTTTTCCACATGGGCTTCTAGTAATTTTAACCTGTTTTCTGGGTAGTAAGATTGGACGTATGTGTGTATTATTGTGCCTGTAAAAAATAAAAACCTGGCCATTGAAAAACGGAAATAGTAGCCTGGTCAACATTTGGTGTACTGGTAAGAAAGAAAAGTGTCAGGTTACTGGGGTGACTGGAAAACTAACTTTCAGATCCAGGTCTTCCTTTAGTGTTACCAGTTTCCGAGGTCTTAGATAAGGGCTAAAGGGTTGTTCATATGTACTCAGGACTGGCTTAGGGGTGACATTCCGCTTTCTGGTCACATATTTCTTTAGTGTCAATTGGAACATGTAAAATGGTTTCCATGCTGTTGTTGTTTTTGTTTCTTTTTGGTTGCTTTCATTCAAGACACTATTTACATGTTCAAAAGTGGTGTCTGTCTCGAGTGCTGGAGGTCCTGGGTTCAAGCTCTGGTGAAGGTTGGGATTTTTTCACGTGGACTTCTAGTAATTTCAACCTGTTCTCTGGGTAGTAAGATTAGACGTCCATGTGTATTGTTGTGCATGTAAAAAATCCCTTGGCCGTTTCAGAGTTTTTCAGGGCACCTTCCCGGTGCCACAGAGTTCGTGCACTGAGCTCAGTTACTTCAAACTGGAGCTTCAGTTAGGAATAGACAGAGCACTTGTGGGTTGTACCCATGTGCCAAGATATTGATCTCTTCCAATAAAATATCCAGCAGTTACATGATGTAGTGTACATTTAAATATGCCCGCTAAAAGTAAACAGAGCGTTCTATGATGCACGGAGAAAATTCTGTAATACATGATCAGTATTTATTTGACTCTGACTTACTTTATAACCCCACCAGAACATCACACAAGGGATAATCACCCGATGACACAATGTGCCACCATGTGGATGAGGATCACTGTGCAGTGGTCCTAGAAACCGCATTCAGCCATTAGGCCATATTTATGGCCTGGCTATATTGCAGCCCCTGGAGTGAGCCAGAGTAGGGCTTCAAATAACGAAAAATTGCATCCTAAAAAGGACAGCAAGATAGCAGACTATAACGTATTTATTTCATAAAATTGATGACAAGAACTGGTTTCCCTTACTTCAAGTTATTTTCTTTGATGGTCCAATAATACAATATTTACAGCACTAATACGTTTAAAAAATAATATGAATGAGAAATAACTGACAGTTGCCCTTAACTTTGATTCTGGGTATGGTATTTTCTGATTGTGCGTCAAGTTCAGTGCCAGCATTTTCCCCTCACCTTTTGGTTTGCTGGACTCTCCATTCGCTCTTCATTATAGATTCTGTCACAATGTTTTAGCCCTTTTTCTCCATGTAGGCACTAGTTAGTGAATTTTTGCTAGTAATTATGTTAGTCAACCTCTATGTTTCTGCTTCCCACCTCTTGTCGAATATCTATATAATTACTGAATGTAACATACTTGTCTATTTTCAGCTTGAAGCTACATACCAGGCTGCTGCACAGGATATTGGTGAATCTCAAACCAAAATCGCAGAACTAAACAACAAAATTGAGTTTGGTTTTAAAAGTAAGCAACCAAGAATGTTCATCGTTATCTTCTTCTTTGTGTTCACTGGCTGTTAACTCCAGCAGAAAGTTCTGGTTGTTAGTCCACCTCTGGACTAAGTCTTGTTCTAGAACTTGAGTGTTATGTGCACATCCGTTTTACAGATCTGGCTTATTTGTATACAGACTGTTGGTTCCTTGCTTGCTAGGTAGATATATTTCTAATTCGAAGGAAGCTTCCAATTAGTTGACTCTTACAGCATGCTTGTTGGGAGGCAGTGGTTCCATTCTTGTTTTCCCCCATTAGAAGGCCATTGAACCCAATTCTCATGTGCTGAATATACAGCCATATCAGCCAACTGGCATACGAGATGAATAGTCAATAAGATACCTGGTAAATACAATGAATAATGATACATAAGACGGTATGTTTTTTAATTGACTGATAATAAGACAAAGTGTATATTAGTTGACTGATACATTAGAGAGTGTTTGTTAGTTGCCTGGGCTATTCTCTGAATAAGGGTGCTAAATTATGGAGGCCAAAAATATACCCTAATTGCAGACTTCCGGCGACTACTGCCACCGCCAAGAGTATCTCCAGCGCCGCTACGCTACTTTCGGTGGTAGCGGTAGTCGCCGGAAGTCCGCAGTTTAAGTCGCAGGAAGGCCGCAATTTACAAGTGACTGAGGCCCTGTTAGGGTATATTTTCGGCCTCAATAATTTGGGACCGTTATTCGGAGGATAGCTGTGGCCTGATACCTAAGACAATGTGTGTATTAGTTGACTGATACTTAAGATATTATGTGTATTAGTTACTGATCTGGTAATCTTAGTTTCAGCTTCATAGCGAATGGGTCACAAATGGCTAACAAAAAACACAGAATGTTTATCACAGTCTCTTGTGGAAAGATTGATAGACTGCTGCCTCAGCACATGCACTAGCATGTACACTCATTAAAAGCATACGGTAGCCATCCGAAGTGCTAACACAAACAGTCTGACTTTAGAAATGCAGTTCATCATGGATGGTAGCAGAAGTCACCAACAGATCAGCAGTTGCACACACGATGAATTTTAATCACATAATGTGACCACCAATATTGCAACAACAGGCATCACACTATTTTCTGAATCTACAATTCACACCACCATGTTGTTTACAGTCGAAAAACATTCCTAATGAAATCTGCAGCTCACAGTGTTAGGCCATGCACTCAGCTGAGAAGCTGAGCGACGAAACTATACCCTTAAATCTACAAATGGAGCAAAAATGCAACGGCCATGGCCACTGTCTTGCAGAAGCAAAAAAATTTGCAGCGGCTCCAAACAGTGACCGTGCGTAGGGTCCATTTTGACAGGAAGTTCATTTTTTAGTTGACTGATACATAAGACAATGTGTATTAGTTGACTGATACATAAGACAATGTGTATTAGTTGACTGATACATAAGACAGTTTGTGTATTAGTTGACTGATACATAAGACAGTATGTGTATTGGTTGACTGATACACAAGACAGTATGTCTATTAGTTGACTGATACATAAGTCAGTATGTGTATTAATTGAGTCATACATAAGACAGTGTGTATTTGTTGATAAATTTGAAACTGCTTCTTTGTATAGTTCTCTTTACAGTTCACCATTTCCGGCTTGCCCATACACTGAATTAGCATAATCGTGTTAGAGGTCAGGAGCTTCATGGTGAAATTAGGTTCCTCTTCCTCCAAGTGCCTGGAAGGTGGGCTGCAGCATGGTGAAGAAACATCATGAAAAGACAGTGCACTTTCGTGCAGGAATCTGTTGTCAAGTGCCTTGCCAGCTGGTGTAGGGGTTCATGCATCTTCACAGATCTCGGTCTTTGAAGTTCTGGATCAATTCCATTGCTGATATTTCTCCATGCCACTGTCTTAAGATATCCACCATCATTCCTCGTGGTCTGCCTCTTCTACCAGGAATCTTTCCAGTCACAATGTTTTCCAGGGCTATTTTTCTCATCCGCAGTCTCATCCAGTGATGCATGTGGTTTCAGGATTTGTTGCCCAAGAACTGAAGTTCTATTTTAGTTCTTTTTACTATTTTATATGATTGGCATGGGAAATATCTAGTATATAAATGACTGGCATATGAAATGTCTAGTATATAAAATGACAGACATACGAAACAACTAGTGTATAAAATAACTTGCATATGAAATGACTCGTATACTAAACGTCTAGTGTATAAAATGACTGACAAAAGCTTATTACAATATATCATAATTTTCTTTATATTAGAAGTTATAAAAGATGTAATGTCTTATGTTTTTCTTTCCAGTTATGAAAGATCTGATGACAGTAAAGGCTGACCTTACCGACCAGGTGTCGGAGCATCAGGAGATGTGCAGTTTGCAAACTGAGAAACTGAAGTCCTCAGAGGAAGAGGTTCAAAGACTGACACAACAGCTAGAAAGAGAAAGAAAGATGTAAGCATCTACTTTTATTGTGAATTCTGAGATGACGCATCATTCCTATATGAGTTATTTACTCTCACTCAATCTCTTTGAGTCCCAAGGAACGCATCATACGTTCATAGGTTCCTACCTAGAAGCCCAATGAACGCAAGATGTGTCGATTTTATTACTTTCTTTACTACCCCTTTGGCCTGTGATGCTAAACCCCCTGGGACTCGAAGAGTTGAGAAGAAAATCAGAGCTTTTGAACTGAAATGCAAGAGAAAAATTCTTAGAACACCATAGATGAAGAAAAGGAAAAAGATTCACTATCTTACGTGACCTGAACATCATCGAGAAATGGCTCATAAATAGTATCCTCTGCCATGAGGTATTTTGGACATGTCAGACAACATGGTAGTCTGGTGGGAATGGGTTATGGTGGGTGCAGTTTCTGGAAAACTAGGTAGAGGCCGACCACCCTGAAAGTGGATACGGGAGATTGAAGATGCATTGGCTATAAAAGCACATAGGGCTGGAGAATGGCTAGAGAGACATTCAGACATACCGTGAAAACAAGGGCATTCTGTAATGGACATGTTTATTGATTGAACTTTAGGTGTGCTGAGGTCACAGAATCGGGAGTTCCCATTGTGGTTTATACATATGCTTGGCTCTTAGTGTGGTTAACATTCCAAGCATTGCTTTGCCTCACTGCAGCTGTGAGTTTCAGTAACAGTCCTGCACAGAATAGATCAGCACTCCACAGATGATCTGGTTAACCCTTTTAGCACGGGAAGTTTTTCAGAGGTCTAGCCAAAAACACGGAGCATTTTTTCAGTGAATTTGGTTATTACTTTATTTAATTTTTTTGACAGATTTCTGTTATTCTGACCCCTATGAAATAATATATCTATTTGAAGGATATAGATTGAAGTTCGTGATTTTCACAATATAGTTAAAATTAATTGATGTATATGCAAATTATCTCATTTGCATATCTAAAAATAGAAAATATGAATTTGAATTTTCAACTTCAATGCTTGAAACATAAAACTAAAAACAAAATTTTTTTTTATTTGTAATCTTTTTATTGATCTTTGGCCTTTTTACAAATGTTGTAAGCAATTCAATAGTCAAAAACAGGTATATATATGTGAAACAGCAATAATATCTTTAGGTGACATGTGTTTTTCACCATCAGTTAGCACTATAAATGGATGTGCCGGAGTGTCAACACCTTCGGGTGGATATACCCTGAGCCATGGTTGGGCTGTGGTCTGAACACAACAGCGTCCCCATCTGATTCCCACTATAACTACTAACACTAAATCCTGCATCAGTATCAACAGAATTAGTGTCAACACTTGATTCAAATGTTTTATCAACATCAAGTTTAGGGGCAGAAACATACGAGTCAGACATACTTTTAGCGGTTCAGGTCACTATCTAAAAAATTCAACAACAATTTTCACTTCGATTCCAAACACTCGAAAGTCGCCATGTGTAAAGCTGATACCGCAGTTGATATAAATGAATCACTTTCAGTGTTTCAAAGTAGGAGATTTCTTAGCGGTTCGAGGCGAAACACGATCGGGCCGATCATCGGCCGTTCCGTGTTTTTGGCAAGACATCCGCCGGCCGATAATCGGCCCGTCCGTGCTAAGAGGGTTAATATTGTGATTACTTCTCAGAATGTTTCTTGGTGTCAGTTCTTATGCTTGGTCAGCTTAGAAGCTGTGATCTGAAAAAAATTTTTTTTTTAACCTTTTTGGAGGTTCTTCTTCTGTATTCCCTCTTGAAGGGTGGTTGCGGTGTTGTATTCTGCAGCTAGGCTGTGGTATTTGCTCCTTTTGGCCCAGCTTATCCAGTTTCAGTAAATGCTTAATTAGTCACATAATGTGACATGCTAAAAGGGGCAGCGGTTCTGTTCTGTTTGCCCACAATGGGGCCCCGGAACCGAAACATGCATATGTATAGGTTTGAAATTATGACCATCTGACAAACGTCTGCCCTAGCTTATTAACCACTGCAAGTCAGAGGTCCCGGCAGTTAGCATCCTTTGGATCTGTTCTCTAAGTAAGGTTTGCAGGTGTGCTGGAAATGAAGCAGGCAGGCAGACTGGCTGGCTGGTTCTGCACCACTGGGTGGTGTTTGATGGGTGGCATGCTAGATGTGTCAAGGTAAGGACCCTTTCCATGCCTTTAGGCGTATTGGGCATATAGGGTTAGACCTATATTTTATAGACCCACCGGCACTTGATGGGTGATGTGGTCAGCATCACGCCAGCTGCCTCTACTTTCCAGAACTGCACCTGGTACCCACTCAAGGCCGGGGTCAACCTGGGAGCCAAGGAGCCTCATTTTTTAAACAATGTCCAGCTCTGTCAGGACCTAAACCCATGATTTTCAGATTTACAGGCTGGCATCTAGCTGCTACACCACAGCAGCTCCCTAGATGTGCAATGCCTTTGGGAATAATATGGTAGCATGAGGAGATCATTATTGTCTGAGGAGAAGATTGCACCGGGAAGGGTCCACAGGATCTGGCTGACTCAGGAAAGGCAAGACGGGCTTATTATCAGACTGCTATCGGAACTGCAGCTCTCTGTTGGTTGCTGAAGATGGGGACAGATCACTTATGGGAAATGTCCTAAGTGCTGGGATGTTGGTTCTGTACTCAACTCAGCATTAATGACTGCACTAATATGGCTCATTTATCATACCATATTCCAAATCTAAATCACATATGAAAACACTATTTGTTTTATTATTTTTTTTGGTTGTGCTTTTTAAATAGATACACGCTTGTCTGCTGGCACATGAATCCTCTTCTGACTGGGGTGGGGGGGGGGGGTGTTGACCTTCTCTCTAAGCTTGTAAAACAGTTTTAAAAAAGTAAAGATCCCTTTACACGCCCTCAGGCACATTGGGCATATGGGAAGAGCACCCATATTTTTACAGACCAATCGGCACTCGGTGGGTAATGTGGTCAGCATTACGCCAGCCGTCTTTACTTTCCCAGGACAGCCCATCCTGGTTCCCATTTGAGGCTGGGTCGACATGCGACGTCCCATACCACGATAAAAATCCACGCAGCCGGCAGTGGGTTTCAATCACGGTACGTTGGATTAAGAGTCAGACTCGCAACGCCTTAGCCACGGACGCTGCGATCTCTAAGCTTGACCCTTCCTGTCGCGTGCCTGATTTAAGGATTTCTCCTTAAGAACCAACAGCACTCTGAAATAATTATGTTGAGTCGTTGGCTCGTATTGGTCTAAGTGATGCCCCATGGCCAATATACGCTCAACTTATTTCAGGAATAGGGCAACTCAAGCTTTGGCACTACAAAATATATAATATTCCTAGGCACACTTGGCTGGACACCCCCACTACTACAAAAAGGTAGCCCCCAGGTTATGATAGTATACTATCATAACCATGTTAACACAGATAACACTTATTACTCACACAAACATCAGAGCTAGACAGTTTAAATGGTGAAATAGGGACACCCAAGTCAGCCAGGAAAATGTATGCATGTAATCAGTACAATATATACATATAATAATGAATAGATAGACAAGAATTCAGTGAATGGTGCTCAGGAATCAATGACACAACCCAGATATTGAAGCAGCCAGATTTAGCCTTGAGGTGTACATGAGTTCATCATCGGACTTATAAGGTGCTGTGGGAAGAGAGCATGTAATGTGAATAATAGATCATTTAGCAGAGTTCGTAGGTCAATGCTCCCCTCAGTCCATGGTGACTCGACTGTAGTTGACTCAATCATTATTTGGGCCTTGATTTGATCTGGTACAAGCTGACTGTCACGAGCGAGGACACAGGAACTGCACAGTAGCCTACCAAAGCTCTTGGAGACTGTGATGCCCGCTGCCGGTCTCACAGGTGATGACACAATAAATGCATGAGCCCAACAAAGCTCTTGAAGACTGGTTCTCTGGATTGATGACACAGGTTTCTGCAATTGTCCACTGGTCCTGGAACTCACAAACAAGCTCTTGCCATGTTGAGGTAGTGGCACTGCATACAGGACTTTTGGATACGCTTGGTGCACAGAATGGTATGGGTTGGTGGTGGTTGGCTGGACTGTGATTCGTCTGCCTGATCTCTAAGAAGGTATCATCCTGTCAGGAAAGAACTCAGAATTAGTAATCAACCTTATTCACACACCAGCTCATCCCACCTCTGCCACCTTTCCCCATTCCTCAGAGTGTAACTCTCAGGAACAGGAGACAATGTCTCCTATCATTTATCTGTCTGTAAAATAGTGCAACAGAAAGAAAACAAGGTATATAGTGGAGATAGGTAGACACTACCACACATAGATCATCCTCTCTCAACCCTCACATCTGCACTCGCAGATATACATTGTTTACATTTAGTACCTATATATATTCCGTCTCCACAGGCCATTCACTACACACCCACTGAATCTGTGTCAAACACACTATTGGCTCAGAGCGCCTAGCCCTGACGGCCAGTTAAAGATGACCTAGATTCCCCATTTCTGGGCACAAAACTTTGTTTGACTGGTCAGAGAATAATTACCTGTAGTGTTTAATATCTTTACAAATGGTGTGGGTTATGTAGAGCACCAACTAATTATTCTGTACAGGGAAAGGTCTACTGTTCAGAGCCTGATCTCTGGACATCAAGAACGGTCGAACTCTGTGCGATCACACAGCTGACTCTGCCCTCTCTGCAGCAGTGGCCAACTTTAAAAAGACATCAATTATGGTACTCGTAAACTATAATCAACTTACCCAAGCTTAGGAAATCTTTCAAGATAGAAATGAAACTTTGAATTCGCCAATTTCTACATAGACTGTATACACATCTTGACACTGGGATCAGGCGAAAGAAATTTTTTTGTTCAAGACCAACCTTAGCGTCTCTAGGAAAGAAGTCCCCTGTATTCCTGCCCAAGGAGTAAACCGGTTTACAGGAATTTCTAAATAAATTACCAGAAATCGCCAACCTACAGTTGCAAGTTTGAAAATGAAGATTTATCAAAGCAACTAGAGGGTCTAGAAATGAATATATTACCAGATAAAGGTATATATCATTATAAGGGACTATATACCCTTCCGGACTGGTTTAAGTTTGAAATTTGACTGAGCGCGATTGGAGTCGGAGTCACGACTCATCCATTGTGTAGGGTTGGCTGCTCACCTCACGACACAGCCTGAAATGGATATCAGGAACATGTCCTGGGAAGAAAATGCAGCTAACATGACATTGACCACATGCCCTATTAAGTGCCAGCTGGTCTGTGAGGCTGGAATTATATGACCAGTGTGCCTGCTCTTATGGTGGGATATCGGTGTGCTAAGTTTCTTTTACTTTTACTTTCCTATTTTAAATAGATAACCCGCCCGTCTCTCTAGCGTAGTTGGCTAAACCGGATTGCGCGGTGAGCGGGTGACGAACTCCTTGTGGTCCGGGTTCACTCCCGGGGGTAGGCAGAAAAGCCACATTTATCCCAGATTTACGGTATTTAAAATGGAATCAAGGCCGAAATGTTGCGATATCCATAATACCGAGCCTAAGGGTCAACAACTCATGGCTTCTGGATACTAAAACAAACAACAAATAGATAACCCCAGGTTTAATTGTTGTTTCAGGATGGATGCTAAAAGTGAATATTATGAACAGGTGATTGCTGAGCATGAGGGGTCCAAGTCCAGGTATGTGTCTTTGAAAAAACATTGTGTTGTTGTTTTTTTTTAATTATGAATATCTTCTTCTCTAGACCTGGGAAATTTGTGCAACTAATTACAAGGAATTTTTGTTGGGAGCAAACACTTTTGTACAAGTTTTTAAATTTTTTAAAACTATATTTATTGGAGTAGACTAGACATACAATCCACAACCCCAGGACAGGGAGGAGAAAATATAACATTCTCAGGTTCCTTACAGTGTAAGCATTGTCCACTGCAATATGTTTTGTGTTGTAATAGTAATAATCTAATTTGCCATGGTTGTTATTGTTTCATACCGACAGATTGGAAATTTACATAGAAAACCTCAGAGACACACTGGACAGCTGGGAGGTCGATCGTGATGTGCAGTCCAAGGTCATTGCCGACTGTGAGGAGCAGCTGGACAAGCAGCGGGCCAAGATGGAGGCAATGAGTCAAGAACTGCAGAGTCTGCGTAAGATCAAAGCCGTCACACAGCCGGAGAGAGATTATTATCAGGTGGGTTTGTACTCTTGGTCTTGGTTTTTTACTCTTTGTCTTGGTTTGTGCTCTTTGTCTTGGTTTGTGCTCTTTGTCTTGGTTTGTGCTCTTTGTCTTGGTTTGTACTCTTTGTCGTGGTTTGTGCTCTTTGTCTTGGTTTGTACTCTTTCTCTTGGTTTGTATTCTTTATCTTGCCTATTTACTAGGGACAGAGCCCAGGGTTGTCACTTCCATGATTCTGTTGTTTCCATGATCTTGTCGCTTTAATTCTCTTATTGCTAGTATGATTTTGTCCCGTCCATGATTTTGTCACTTCTATGATCTTGTCACATCTATGGTCTTCTCACTTTATCGCTTTCAGGATCTTTTCACATCCCGGACCCGATCTTGTCACTTTGTCTCTTCCATGATGTTGTCACATCTATGATCTTGTCACTTTTTGTCACTTTCCTGATGTTGTCACTTTGTCACTTCCATGATCTTGTCACATCTTTGATTTTGTCACTTATGTGATTTTTTTACATCTATGATCCTTGCCGCTCGGGCAGATGCACTCCGACTTGAAAGAAAGCACTCAATTAGTCTACTGCTATGACGTGCATGTTGGGGCGGTAGTGGGTCTGTTCTTGTTTTCTTCCCACAATGTGGGGCCCTGAAACCCACAAGGGGAGGTTATAAATGTTTAAAAATTACTGTGTGTATCACTTGCAGGAGCTGAGAAACACAAACAAGTTCCTGGAGGCAGAAAAACAGCTGTACCTGGAAGCATTGACCGACTGCAGGAGCCGGCTGGAGGCAGAGGTTGAACTGACAGCCAGCAACAACAAACTCATCGATGCTCTGAGGTCCAACAATACAGAATTGCAACAGTCCAATGACCAGCTTATGTAAGTTAGGTGTCATCATCTGCTGTGTGACAGTGTTGTATTCTAACTTTCCCCGCCATTTTGCTCTTTTTGTAGTTATTCTATCTTATTCTGTGCCATGTTATCATTTTCTTGTTATTCTGCATAAAATTATTTCTCTTCTGTATGCATTGCGATGTTTTAATTTTATGTTAGGTTCAAATTTCTTTCTATTCTGTTTAGACCAATGTTGACTGGCCTCTAAGAACATGTGTTCTTTATTATCTCCTTGTGGGATGTAATTTTGTGTTATTTGAAGCCCCACCCTGGCTATGCCTGGGGGCCCTGAATATAGCGGGGCCATAAATATGGCATAGCCATTGATATGGTCATAACGGCTGAAAGGTGTTTCTGGGACCTCTCCACTGGTGATCCTCATCCACATGGGGGCATTTTGTGTCACCAGGTGTTTATCGCTTGTGTGATGTCCTAGTGGGGTAAAACTACCTACCTACCTCTAAAAACATGGGCCCAGCACCATATGTCCCATGTGCCACTGGTTGGGAAAGGGTCCACTATTTTTTTCTCAATTACCATAGCAGTCTTCTTCTCATCAGCATTGACTGGCTGTAAACTCCTGTGGAAAGTCCTGGATGTTCGTCGACTTCTGGACTTTGGCCTTGTCCAGAACTTCAGTTTCGCAGGCAGATCTGTTTTACATATCTTTCTTTAGTATGTGCAGACTGTTAGTTCCTTGCCTCTCAAGCAGGTGCACTTAAAAGAAACACTCTTATTGAAACCCCTGGTGCAGCATACTTGTTGGGGGAGGGGGGGGGGGGCAGTAGGCCTGTTCTCCCTCACCCTCTGTACCAAATGTGGACCCAGAACCAACAGAACAACCATGGCAAATATGATACTGTAAATTGCAGCTGATAAATTGAGTTTTCAGACTTAACAGCTCTTTCTAAAGCCTTAGGTGAGTATAGGTCCCACTCAGAATTTTAGGTTCATATGTTGAGGTGATGTGTACACACGGGCTGTATGGTCTCGAGCCATGGTGTCCGCCTCGAGTGTTAGAGGTCCCGGGTTCAAGCCCCAGTGAGGGCTGGGATTTTTTCACGTGGACTTCAAGAAATTTTCACCTGGTCTCTAGGTAGTAAGACTGGACGCCCGTGTGTATTGTTGCACACGTAAACGATCCTGTGGCAGTTGGAAATTGAAAAGAGTAGCCTAACAGCGCTGCCAGGGCAAAATTTAGAGTCTAAAATCTACCTAAGTATTTCAGGATCCTAGCCGGTGCAACAAAGTGTGTGCACTGCGCTGAAAACCTTCAGACTCTGAGTTAGAAGAACTAAGCACTTATGGGTTACACCCCTGTGCCAAGATGTTGATCCATTAAATAACATAAACTTGTACACCAGGTCAGCTTGTATGCAGTAGTCTACTAATCCGACTCTTGCTGATGTCTCTTCAGGTCGGATGTGCAGGTGCTGGAGGAGACCTTGTCCCTCAAATCCACGGACATAGACATGAGCTGTACAGCCATGGATAACCTGCAGGAGAGGATGGAGTCAGTGTTGTCTTCGCTGCAACAGAAGCTTGGTCACGAGGTATGTGTCGTTCATGATCATTAGCACATACACGCATAGCCCACTGTTGATGAAGATACAGACAATGTTGAAGGCTTTATCCAGTTACAGAGATCACTTTTTAGGTAGAACACATCTTCTTCTTCTTCTTTGTGTTCACCAGCTGTAAACTGTGGCAGAAAGTCCTGGTTGTTCGTCCACCTCTGAACTTGTTCAAGAACTTGAGTTTTGCACAGACATCCATTTAACAGATCTGACTTATTTGTAAGCAGACTGTTGGTTTCTCACCTTCCAGGCAGAAGCACTCTGACTTTGAAAAAAAAAAAAAAACCTGATTAGTTTACTCTTATAACATGCTTGTTAGAGAGGTAGTGGGTCTATACTTTCCTTCCCTCAATGAGGCCTGAGAACCCACCGGGGGAAGGGGGGGGGGGGGGCAAAGTACATGTAAAGGCAGATATAATATACATTGTATATCAGGGCTGAAGACTTTTGATAATCGGCACAGAACGGGCGTGATGAGTATGTTACCCTTGTGGAGCAATTGAGGAAGAGATTGGAGCACTTGTAGATCTGTCCACAGTGCTGTGATGACAGTTGTCACTAATCCCGCTACATTGTTCTGTTCTTTTTGGGATATATCAACATTTTTAGCTCCTTTTATACTTTACTTGGGCCTTGCAGTTGCTTCCCCCCCCCCCCATTTCCTTCAATCCTTTGCATTCCTTTGGATATTGTGAATGAAACATTGTCCAACACCTCTGGTCTGTCTTTTTAACTTCCGTCTTAAGGTTTCTCTTTTACCTCAACCATTTGTTTCCTATTTGAGTGCCTTGTTTTGTGATTCTTTTTGTTGTTGCTTCTTCTGCACATGTCCCCATCTTCCTTTGTAACTTTTGGCACTATCGGTTGTCCCGGCATTTTTCTGACCTTTTTTTCCCTTTAATGAATTTATCCAGTTTAATGTTTATAAGTGTTTCTTCTGCATTTAATTAAGACATATAGTGTGTTTTTTTTTTGGGGGGGGGGGGGGGGGGGTGTGAAGAAGGGGAATTTGTTTTTTGTATTTCATACTGAAATTTTGTGTGTATCTAGAACCTGTTCTGCTGAATGGCAGGGAATCCTATGATGTACACATTTGTTTTAGGAAGAGCTGTTGGCAGCATAGTTGTACTTCCTGGGAAGAATGTTGTAGTACAATGGTAGGGAATAGTATGTACATTTAGGAAGAGCTTGTTTGCAGCAGAGTTGAAGTTTCTGGGAAGAATGTTGTAGTTCAATGAGCAGTCAGATATAATAATTATTATTACCTACTAAAAGTAGAAAGTGACCTGCAGCTCTAAGAAATGTTTTTTTGTGGGCATATATCAGAAGGTCGTGGGTTCAAGTCCTAACGGAGCCAGACTTTTCAAAAATGACTTGGCTCCCAGGTTGACCCGGCCTTGAGCCGGTACCAGTTACAGTCCTGGGTAGTAGAGATGGCCTGTATGGTGTTGACCACATCACCCACAAAGTGCCTATTGATCTATAAAATATAGGTCTAGCCCTATATGCCCTATACATCTGAAGGCGTGAAAAAGGCTCCTTAACTTTACTTCTTACTATTTAGGCATATGGTGGAAAGAATATTTAAAAAAAACAAAAACAGTTTGGCTAACTTGACAAATAAGCCAAGGAATGATGATGCTGGATGGTAACGGATGGTAGTTAAAGGATTATACAAACGTTAGTCTGCCCATTTACACAGTGTTACACACTAGCTCACTGATTGGTCGACCTTGAGCCACGCTTACTTGCCACAAGGTTACGGGGGTTTCCCCGCAGTGTTGTTGATATCGTGTGTTATATATTTCAGCACCAGGTCAGCGCCTTTAACACTCCAAAAACATAGAGAAACTGGGTCTAACACAAAACCCCTTTAGAGAGTGATAAAACCTATGTCACAGGCATTCTATTTCTAGGAATAAAAATGTAAATGCAAGACAACCCAGAAAGCAAACACAGCGGCACACCCGTAACCTGCAGGAAGGTAGACCAGTCCAAAAAACTTATGAATGGAACGTGACCTGCTTTGTTTGGGGAGACCAACGTTTTTGTATAACCATTAAAAGTAGGACACCCCCCCCCCTCCCCCCTCCTTAAATGCCAGTGACATACAAGTCAGCACTCGGTGGGTAATGTGGTCAACATCACGCCAGCTGCTTTTATGTTATGGCCTATAACTTGTGAGGGTCTGTTCCCAGTGTCAATAGTATCTGTAAGGGAGAGTCTTTAGATTCTTGCAGTTCTGTGATGTTTGATTTATTTGTCTTCAGGTTAAACCGGACAAGTCTGCGAGAGAAACATTTTTTACACCAAGTAAACTGGCCAGTAGTTATCCTCAAGAATCATCATTAATGACTCAGATTCTGTCAGCAAGAAAAGCTCGTTCACAGATGTCTCAGTCTTCAAATGCTTCTTTTGCACAGCAAAGAGGTTCAGTTCTCCACAGCACCTTTATAAACCATGACACCTCAAGCTGTTCTAGAGCTGAAGAAGCTGAAAGAACAAGGTTGAAGCAAAATAATGTTCTGTTTGGTGCTCTCCAGCCGCGACTTGTTGCAGAAGCCGAATCATATCTTTCTCCTCGCAGTCAAAGCTTTATGACATCCCAGAATTCCCGAATGCTGACAGATTCAAGAAGGTCAGTGCTGTTCTCTAGTGCTTCAAAGGGGACCATTAAGAACCAGGATGCTTCACAAAATCGTTCTCAAACATCTGTCAGGAAAGATTTAAGCAGTTTGTATCCAGTAACAGAGCAGAACGTGTCCACGCCTGGTTATGCAAAAATTTGCAGTATTCCATCAACGATGGATAGAACATTAGAAAGTCTGGCTAGGGCCAAAGGTGAAAGCTCCAGGTCTGAGAATTCATCTCTTGATGATGTTGCAGCTGTTTTGGATTCAGACTCAATGCTAGCTAAGGTAGGTGTCTGTTTCTGGATTAAGTTGCATCTCTGTTTGGAACTGTGTGTTGTTGAGTAGGTGTCTGTGTTTCTGGATTAAGTTGCATCTCTGTTTGGAACTGTGTGATGTTGAGTAGGTGTCTGTGTTTCTGGATTAAGTTGCATCTCTGTTTGGGATTGTGTGATGTTGAGTAGGTGTCTGTGTTTCTGGATTAAGTTGCATCTCTGTTTGGGATTGTGTGATGTTGAGTAGGTGTCTATGTTTCTGGATTAAGTTGCATCTCTGTTAGGGATTGTGTGTTGTTGAGTAGGTGTCTGTGTTTCTGGATTAAGTTGCATCTCTGTTTGGGACTGTTTGATGTTGAGTAGGTGTCTGTATTTCTAGATTAAGTTGCATCTCTGTTTGGAACTGTATGATGTTGAATTGGTGTCTGTGTTTCTAGATTAAGTTGCATCTCTGTTTGGAACTGTGTGATGTTGCGTAGGTGTCTGTGTTTCTGGATTAAGTTGCATCTCTGTTTGGGATTGTGTGATGTTGAGTAGGTGTCTGTGTTTCTGGATTAAGTTGCATCTCTGTTTGGGATTGTGTGATGTTGAGTAGGAGTCTTATGTTTCTGGATTAAGTTGCATCTCTGTTTGGGATTGTGTGTTGTTGAGTAGGTGTCTGTGTTTCTGGATTAAGTTGCATCTCTGTTTGGGACTGTTTGATGTTGAGTAGGTGTCTGTATTTCTAGATTAAGTTGCATCTCTGTTTGGAACTGTATGATGTTGAATTGGTGTCTGTGTTTCTGGATTAAGTTGCATCTCTGTTTGGAACTGTGTGATGTTGAGTAGGTGTCTGTATTTCTAGATTAAGTTGCATCTCTGTTTGGGACTGTTTGATGTTGAGTAGGTGTCTGTATTTCTAGATTAAGTTGCATCTCTGTTTGGGACTGTTTGATGTTGAGTAGGTGTCTGTATTTCTAGATTAAGTTGCATCTCTGTTTGGGACTGTTTGATGTTGAGTAGGTGTCTGTGTTTCTGGATTAAGTTGCATCTCTGTTTGGGACTGTTTGATGTTGAGTAGGTGTCTGTATTTCTAGATTAAGTTTGCATCTCTGTTTGGGACTGTTTGATGTTGAGTAGGTGTCTGTGTTTCTGGATTAAGTTGCATCTCTGTTTGGGACTGTTTGATGTTGAGTAGGTGTCTGTGTTTCTGGATTAAGTTGCATCTCTGTTTGGAACTGTGTGATGTTGAGTAGGTGTCTGTGTTTCTGGATTAAGTTGCATCTCTGTTTGGGACTGTTTGATGTTGAGTAGGTGTCTGTTTCTAGATTAAGTTGCATCTCTGGAACTGCATGATGTTTAGTCTTTGTTTCTTGATTATGTTGCTTCTCTGTTTGGGACTGCGTGATGTGGACCACATCACCCACCAAATGCTGATTGGGCTATAAAATATAGATTTTGCCCAGTACGCCTAAAGGTGGTTAGAAGTGTCCTTTACTTCACTTTACAATGTGGGACTAGGCACAGACTATCAAAGGTAAGCTTCTCTGTTTCTTGATTATGCGGCATATCTGTTTGGGACCAGACTCGACCTAGCCAGGGTAGTAGGTTCCTCTCTTTTAGATGATGCTGCATCCAAGGTAAGTTGCATATCCCTTGATTATGATACATCTCTGTTTGGGATCAGGCTCATTACTGACTAAGGTAGTTTGTTTACCATCTTTTGATGATGATCAGGTCTGGGATTTATCCAAGTCAAGTCCCACTATTTCTTGATAATGATCAAGTCTGGGATTTATCCATCTTATCGTGGATACGTTGCACTACCCCATGATGATGCTCTAGCTTACATGGAATCATTGCTAGCCAAGGTAATTTCAACTGTTGGAAATAGATGGTAACTGCGGCTGAGCTGATGTGAATGGATAAACCTGGAAAACAGTGTTTGCTCATTTGGTTTTGTTTCTCTTTTTTTTCCTCTCTCTCTCACACACACACACTGTCATCCTCACACACATTTTACTTTCTCTCTCTCTCTCTCTCTCTCTCTCTCTCTCTCTCTCTCTCTCTCTCTCTCTCTCTCTCTCTCTCTCTCTCTCTCTCTCTCTCAGTTCTGATCTCTGACACACACATCCACACACTCTCACACCCACATTCTCTCTCTCTCTTTCTCACACACACACACACACAAACACTGACATACCTTCTCTCACACACACACACACACACTCATGCACATTCTGTCTCTCACACACACCTATATGACTAACATAATGAATGTTGCTCCCAGATAGCCTTTATCAGCATACAACCCAGCCAGTGATAGAGATATATATAAAAAATACATTAAAATGCTGTTTTTCCTGTGGGTTTGTAGCCTTTCTGGAGGGGGGGGGGGGGGTGGCACCTGCGCCTCAGTTCCTCCCCTAACAAGCTTGTAAAAGGCGACTAATTAGCTGGGTTTTTTTTTCTTCAGAGTAGGTACATCTGGCTTAGAGACAAGGAACTAACAGTCTGCATGTAAATAAGCCATCTGTAAAGCTGATGTCCATACAAAACTCAAATCCTGGAGAGAAAAAAACCATTGTCTAGAAGCGGATGAACAGCCAAAACTTACCTTTGAGTTTAACAGCTGGTGAATGCTCAGAAGACGAGGAGGAGTATGGCCAACATACTCAATCATATAACTTGGCTCTCCCCGTTTGGGCTCTGGGCTCATTGTGGGGACAACAACAATAGATCCACTGCCTTCCCAACAAGCATGTAGTAGGAGTCGACTAACTGGGGACTTCTTTCAAAGTCAAGAGTGTATCTGCCTGAGTGCAAGGAACAACCAGCTGCACACAAATAAGTCAGTAAAACAGATGTACATGCAAAACTCAGGCCCTGGCACAAAATCCAAATGGACGAACAACTGGGACTTTCCACTGGAGCTAAGAGCCAGTAAACAAAGAAGAAGAAGATAAAACTGACATGTTTGGGTTATGTAAATAAGGCTTCTTAAAACAAAACAAAAAAAACATATGCAATGCTTGATGTGTTTACTACAGAGTTATGTAATGTATTTTCATTGAAACAGGTTCAGCAGGTGGACAGATTGTTCACTTTGATTCTCAAGACTGCAGACATGGCTCAGAGAGCCTCTGAACTCACAGTCAAGGATCTGAAAGAAGACATGTGAGTCATAGTCTCTTATCTGGTGTACTCTGTGAGCTTTCTGTTTTAAAATGTTGTCTACATCTTACTGTTTGCATCTTTCCTGTAGTAGCCTATAGTGGATGTGAGTCACGGACTATTCTGCACCCATTACCCCAAACAAAACAAAAAAGTTACTTTTCTTTATTTCTTAATAGCATTCACTGGCTGTAAGTTTGATGGAAAGTTCTGGTTCTTTGTCCACTTCTGGACTTTGGTCTTGTTCCAGAACTTGGGAGTTTTTGCAAGCACATCCACTTTACAGATCTGGCCTACTAGTATGCAGACTGTTGGTTCCTCGCTTCTTATATAGATATACTTTGCCTTCTAAGCTAACATCCCTAATAAGCCTCTCTCCCCCCCCCCCCCCCCCTCCCACAATATGCTTGTTAATGAGCAGTGGGTGTATTCTTATTTCCCCCTAAAAATGGGGCCGCAGAACCCCTCTAGGGTGCGGCTATCTGAAGGTTCAACATACCACTCTGAGTTAACAAAATCTCAGTCTGAATGACAGTGAATCTTAGGGAATCATGGACCAAAATGGGTTGAAAGTACTGACGGTCTTCACGATCTTCATATTTTAAGAGAGAATAGACCCACTTCCTGCCTGACGCATGAGGGTGTGCTGAAATTGAATGTTCTGGGCTTGATAGACACACACATATCCCAGCCTAGCTGTAAATCGTTACAAGGGCAAACACAGAAGCAAAAGAAAAAGAAGAATATCTGCCCTTCTACAAGCATATAGGTGGTTTTTCTTATTATTAAAAAAAAAAAAATTCTTTGTCTTCTTAACTTTCAGCGACTGTAAACTCCGTGGGAAAGTTCTGATTGCTAAATAACTGGGTTCTAGAATTTGGTCTTCATCTAGAACTTAAGTGTTGTGTGCACTCCTGTTTGACAGATGTAGGCTACTTGTGTGTTGCTTCCTTGCTTGTCAGGCAGATGCACTCTGACTTTGAAGGAAGCTCCCCTAATTGCCTCCTATTCCAGGTTTGTTAGGTTAGGGAGGCAGTTGGTCTGTTCCAGAACCCACACGAGGACACAAAAACAATGTGAATACCGTTTATGTTACCGGGTATTTCTTTTGCCTCTGGGTAGTGGCGTATTCACTTAGTTTTCTCAGATAAGTGGAAGGATAGGGGTGGCATGTGTGTTTTAGGGCCTTTTTTGCTCTTTTCTTTTATTTCACCTCATTTTCTGGACTCTCAAAATTTCGTGGGGGAGTTCCCAGGAACGTCCAGTACGATAGGGTTGTTAGGGTGTGAAATAGACACTGACCAACATCAACCCTTACCTCTCAACCCCCTCTCCCCACCCCCACCACATAACATTGGATTTTCCGGGAACGCCCCACACAATCTTGGAGTCCGCAAGATTGTGCGAAATAAAATAAAAGAACCCCTTTTTTTCAAATTCACACAGTTGCGCTTCACACATGTGATTCTCCATGTTCTTCTTCATATGTCACCTCACTGATATCAGGTTGTAGCCCAGTGTCGTGGTTTTCTGTATTTGTTCTGCACTTTTTAGATGACTTGGGTGATGAGCATGTTTGTCTTTTTGCAGACTTCAGCAACACCATTTAATTCTCTGTTGTAGAATCCAGATTTAAATAGTTTTTGTGTTTGCAGGGCTCTGTTGGAAGACAAACTGAGGTTTCAGCGTTGCCAGACCAAAGACCTGGAGACAGAATTACAACAGAAATCAGCACAGTTGATGTCTGCCAAGACACAGATGCAGGAGCTGAACGCTCGGATGAGAGAAAAGACTCAGTCACTGATGACTTTCCAAGACCAGCAGCATCAAGTCACGGTGTGTGGTTTATCTATAGTTCCTTCCTTATAGTTCCTCTTCTGTTCCTTGATGTGAAGGAGTCACGGTGTGTGGTTTATCTCTAGTTCCTTCCTTATAATTCCTCTTCTGTTTCTGGATGTGGAGGAGTCAGGGTGTGTGGTTTGTCTCTAGTTCCTTCCTTATAGTTCCTATTCTGTTTCTGGATGTGGAGGAGTCACGGTGTGTGGTTTATCTATAGCTCCTTCCTTATAGTTCCTCTTCTGTTCCTGGATGTGGAGGAGTCACGGTGTGTGGTTTATCTATAGCTCCTTCCTTATAGTTCCTCTTCTGTTCCTGGATGTGGAGGAGTCACGGTGTGTGGTTTATCTATAGCTCCTTCCTTATAATTCCTCTTCTGTTCCTGGATGTGGAGGAGTCACGGTGTGTGGTTTATCTCTAGCTCCTTCCTTATAGTTCCTCTTCTATTCCTGGATGTGGAGGAGTCACAGTGTGTGGTTTATCTCTAGCTCCTTCCTTATAGTTCCTCTTCTGTTCCTGGATGTGGAGGAGTCACAGTGTGTGGTTTATATTAAGGCTGTACCAAATATTCGCTTCGGGGCCGAATAGTGGACCTAATAACTATTCGGTATTCAGCCGAATAGTTGCGGTCGGGCCGAATACGAATAGTGGTTACCTTACTCCCGTTTCTGCATACACTGTGATGGACTGAAATAACTCTCTCATTAACACAATAGTTGCTGTTGCCGAAGTCTGTCGTAGCGGGGAAACTGCGACGAGGTTGCGTGGTTCAAACTGCAAAAAATGCCAACCGCAGTGTGTGTCGGTGTGTGTGAGAGAGATCATGCATTTTTCGTTCTTTTAGGGTGTCTTTGCCCAAATAAAATTTGAAGATATTGCTAACGAGAATGTGAAGGTGCGTTTAAATTACATCGAACAAACGGCCGAGCGAACGATGGTTTTGAAAGAGGCGGGAGCCTGAAGACAACTAATCACAGACATCAGTAGAAGGCAGTCATCATTTTTCAGCCATGTTATGAGAAGAGGGAAAATGGAACATTTGGTGACCACTGGACAGATCTGTTTAAGGAGAGATAGAGGAAGACAACGATAGAAGATTCTTGACAGTCTTGTCACATGGCATGGAGGTGTGTCAGCACACAAACGGATACATGCTGCAGGAGATAGCAGATTGTGGAGAGGCATGATCGCCCATGCCAGTCGGCAAGGCACCTGATGATGATGATGATACACTATTCGTATTCGGCCAAATAGTTGGTCCCACTATTCATCTTCGGCCGAATAGTGAAAATCACTATTCGGTACAGCCCTAGTTTATATCCAGCTTCTTCGCTATAATTCCTCTTCTGTTCCTGGATGTGAAAGAATCACGGTGTGTGGTTTATCTATAGCTCCTTCCTCATAGTTCCTCTTCCGTTCCTGGATGTGGAGGGAAAATGAGTCAGTTCGGCAGTCAGTCTCTTGTGGTTGCTGTTAAAGGGAATGTATGCAAATTTTCGGAATTTATTGAAACATGCTATTAGTTAATGTGTATCTGTTTCGTGTGCTTGTGTCAGTTTATATACTATGTTAATATATTAAGTAAAAATTATTTCAATGTCCTTTTTCACGCCAGTGATGTATCCGTTATATGAACCTAGACTCATATTTAGTAGACCAGTCAGCACTGAACAGGTGACATAGTCAGTACCATGCTGGCCTCTTTAACTTCCCAGGATTTTACCTGATGCACATTTTAGGTTGTGTGGACCTAGAAGCCAAGGAGTTAATTTATCAAATGAATATCAACTAAAGATGGATTCTGTAGCTCCAGCAGCAACCCCCAGAGATATCAGAGACCTACTTACAGGAAACCCAACCCATATACATTTCTTCTTTTAGTTTGACAGCTATAAACTCTGTTGGAAAGTTCTGGTTGTTCATCCACTTCTGGACTGCAGTCCTATTTCAGAACCTGAGTGTTGTGTGTGCATCCGTTTAAATCAGATACATCATTGTATCTCATATGTATGCAGACTGCTGGTTCCTTGCCTGTAAGGCAGATGCACTCTGACTTCGAAGGAAGGTCCTAATTAGTCGACTCTTACGACGTGCTTTTGGGTAGAAATTGGGTCTATTCTTGTTTTCCCTATAATAGGGCCCTAGAACCCACACAGGGAGACTTCTAATAATTTCCCCTGGTCTCTGGATAGTTAGATCAAACGCCAGTGTGTATTGTTGCGCGCATTAAAAAAATCCCTTGGCAGTTGAAACGAAAAAGAGTTGCCTAACGGCACTGCCCGGGCTAAATTTGGAGTTAAAAATCTACCCAAAGTATTTCAGGATCCTTGCCATTGCTAGAGTTCCTTCACTGCGCTGAGAATCTTCGTACTCAGGCTTGAGTCAAAAGTAGAACGGAGCACTTATGGGTTACTTTCCTTCTACCATAATGTTGATCAATTGTCTAAACTTAAAAGTAGGATAATTATCTGGATAGTTCAGCAGCACAGCACGATTAAACAGGATCACAAACCTAATCCTAGAGTGGTGATTGTGTGAGGTGGCCAATAGTGATTCACATTTGTTGGGTCCCTGTGTGTGTTCCTGGGTCCTATTGTGGGGGGGGGGGGGGGGGGGGCAAGAATAGACTCACTGCCTCCCCAACAAGCTTGTCATAAGAGTCGACTAATTGGGAGCTTCCTTCTTTTTTTTTTCTTTTTTTTTTTCATCGAACACCGGCTGTGAATTCCAGTGGAAGGTCCCGGTTAATCGTCCGCTTGGACTTTTGGCCTTCACCTGGACCTGATTTTTGCGTGTACAACCGTTTTTTATTTCCCTGCCTCTTGGGCAGCTGTACGCCGACTTCGAAGGAAGACGTCAGGCCTATTTCTAGGGTGACTGTGGCCATTGTTTTTTGTGGGTCGAGACTGCCTGATTTGTGTGGTGTCCGCCTTGTCTCCTTCGCCGCAGGTATTGCCCCCCGAGTACCCCTTTGGGGCAACCCCCTGTGGAACAGTTGGCCCTCAAGGGAAGGCAGGGGCAGATCATGGGCATTCCCCGCCATCCAAGGAGGCTTCCATGCATGCAGAGCCGGCACATGGCGCTCTGGTTCTGGGCTCACCCAAGGAATCGTCACGTCCTGCACATGCCTGCTTAACCTCACAACCGTATCAGGCCTCCCGCTCGACAGGGGCTGCGCCCTCTGGAAGTCAGCGGGGAGCAGCCCGTTGGTTTTGGACTTTTGTGACCACACAGATAGGTACATTTGCCCGGCAGAATTTCACATCCTGAATCAGGCATATCGTTATCAGTTTTTGTCCCAACACTCGGGCGAGTGGGGTCTTTGGGTGTGGACATTCGGGCTTTTTGCATTTCAGTGCAAATTTTGATGGTCAGATTTTGATCCGTATGATCTAGTTTTTGTCGTCGACATTTAGGCTTAGCCATCCGATGGATGGTTGCTGTTGTGGTGTACCACAGCGCGGTGACGACGACACTGAGGGTTATCCGAGGATGTACGTGACTGGCCCAGCCTATGGATGGTTGCTGTTGTGGTGCACCTCAGCGCGGTGACGACGACACTGAGGGCCAACCGAGGATGCACAAGGATGGCCAGCCCATGTATGGTTTCTGTTGTGTTGCAACCTCAGCGCGGTGACGACGACACTGAGAATTAACCGAGGATGAGCATTGAGCAATGTTCTCTTTACTCAGCAGTCTTTTAACCAAGGGTTGTGATTTTAGCTGTACTTTTGTCGAACCTACTCATGTTCCTAATGAGTTTTGATAACATTTTTTCACCCAAGCGTTTGGGGGCGGGCTGATGAGAGCCACAAGGACTCATCACCTCTGGGGGCCGCCAAACTCCGAGATCCCCTGACAGCTCTGTTAATGCTCATTTGAGACATTATCCGTGGCGCACGACGAGGACGTGCTGTAGGGGTCTTGCGTGAGGTTCCGTACAACCAGGATAGTAAAGGACTGGCGCCCGAGTGATGTACGGAGTATCTCCTTATACACATCATGTTGGACTTAACTTCCCCTCACGCCTGTGACATAAATCACCGCGCCACAGCTTCCTTCTAAGTCAGTGTATGTGCCTGAGAGGCACGGAACCAACACTGTGCATACAAAAAAGCAAGATCTGTAAAATGGATGCGCACGCAAAACTCAGGTTCTGGAACAAAGCCAAAATCCAGAATCTACGAACAACCAGGCCTTTCCACCAGGGTTTTACAGTTGGTGATTGCAGACCACAACATTTGTAGGGCAATGTGCCTGATACTGATGGTTTCTCTTGTTTTGGAGCTTTGCTGTTTACAACCACAGGTGTTTATTTGTAATGTAATAAAAAATTTTAATGTCTTTTTCAACAACTAAATGTTTAAACAGTGTGTGTGTGGTTTTGTCATACATTGCAGACTCTGGAAGAAGAGAAGGTTGAACTAAATCGGAAAGTAAGGTCTTTGAGAGAGGAGGTTAAGATGTTGACAGAACAACTCCATGAGGTACTGCAGAAATTTGATGACATCAAGACGGGACAGAAACCAGAGGGAGCCTGTGTTAGAGAGATTGTAAACTTGAAGAAACAGGTCAGTCTTCTGTACATGTAAAATTGCTGGCCTTTCTTCTCCTCACCCACTGATTAGTAGTCATGTTTGGTATACACCTGTGAAGTGATGTGTGGTGTACACCTTTGATCTGCTGTGTGGTGTACACTTCTCATCTGCCAGGGTTCGTAGTGGACCGGGAAATCGGGAAATTACCGGGATTTTTTTCGTTGACCTTGAACCGTGATTTTTAGCTTATAAAAGACATTCCGACCTTGAAAAGCCGTGAATTTTGACCACGGCAATGAAATCGTCAGAAATCCTGTGTTTTTCAGCACAGGCAATTTTGGGGGAGCCATTTGGCTTTTTTGGCCATTTGGCTAGTTTTTGGCTACTTTCGTTGGATGGTCGTTTCAGGTGTGAGTGCAGCTGATTATTGGCTATTTTCAGCCGAAATGGCTTGTTAAAGGCCAGGGGAGGGCGGGCTTTGTTGCAGATCATGAATACATGCAGACAGCAGCGGTGTGGCATGGGGCGGGAAGGAGCAGCTTCCGTCTCGCGCGCGCGCGTGTGTGTGTGTGCCTTTGTTTCTAGCAAGTCGGGCAGAATGAACAGTATAAATCGTTTATGGCCGTGGTTTCTAGAAAGGATTACATTGGGAGATGGTGGGGCTCGGTTCAGTTGTATTTATAAATAGAGTCGCTGTGGTGGGGGCTAAGCACAGCCTTCTCTATTAATTAGAGATGGCATTGGGGCTAAGCAAAGTGACTGCAGCTGGATTTCCCAGTTCTATTTTTGGCCTGGATTTATCTTTACAGTGTGTTTGGCGATCAGTATTGTAATTCCCCGAGATTCCCTCTTCTGTTGTCTCACCCCCCTCTCTCTCTTCCCTCCCTCTTTCATTCTTCTACCTATTGCTCCTTCCTTCCCGTCTCATGCATTGTCTCTAACCCTCCCTTCTGATCTTCATCTTCTTCTCTTTCTCTCTATCTTTCCTTTTACTCTCTCATTTCCTGTCCCCCCTCCCCCTTTTTCCTATTTTATTTCTTGTTTAAATGTTTAGTAAATGTGTGGCGCCATAACTCTTCCTAGCAACTCAAGTACACAGGAAGTTGTATTGGGGGGGGGGGGCATTCTGTGTGAACATGGTGGATTTTTTTTTGATGTGTTTGTTTTCCTAGCGGCCTTAATCTCTGTCCATCTCCCTTCCCGCCCCCTCACATTTTGTCCTACCTGTTCCTCACTCTCTGCCTTTCTATGTCACTGCTTTCCTCTTTCTCTTTGTATTTGCCACTCTCCCTCACTCTCTCTCTCTCTCTCTCTCTCTCTCTCTCTCTCTCTCCATACCTTCAGTTGAGTTGGTGTAGAAGGTTATGTGTTGCCTAGTGCAGAACATTTCATGTCCACCATTCCCCCCTCCCACACATTAAATATATGTGTAATTTTAAAAACACATTTGCCGTCACCCCCCACCCCCCCTTTTTTTTTTCTCCTCCCACATTAATGACACCTAGGGGAGGGAGTGCACCCCTTCCTGCTACCTTCTTCCCTCCAAATCTCATCTTATTTCTTACTCCCTTCTTTCTCTCCCTGTCTCATTCCCACTTTATTTTCTTAAACTTTATTCTCTCACCTCCTCTGTCTCACCCTTACCACCTCAGCCTTCTACACCACTTTCCACCACCTCCTCTCTCCCCTCCTTTCTGTAATTGGAAAACCAGAAATAAAACGAAGTCCACTGCTGCCCTGACCTATTTATGTGTCTGACCTATTTACCTGTGTGGGTAAACTTCTCTATTTTCCACCAGTGGTGGGTTGGGATCCCCTGGACTTTTTTTTTCTTCATAAAATGACCTTGGCTCTCAGGTCACCAGCCTTAAGTGTAAGAAATTGAATTATTGTTGTCACACACAGATAGGGCAAGCAAGGGGCAGTAGGGGTTAGCACTGTTGTTTTTGGACCACGGCCACATTCACATTGGGAGAGGGTAGGAACGGGGGGGGGGGGGGGGAAGTAGCCTCACTTAGAGATTTCCTAATTCTATTTTTTGCACTCATTGTTCTTACACCCACCCCCACAACCGTGTCTTACCTTTCTTCTCTCACCCCTTCTCTTTCCTTTGATCTTCTACTATTCTCCTTTCTCTCTCCATTCTTCCTCTCTTCCTTTCCTTGCCCTTTCTCCTGTCCCATCTCTTCTTTGTCTCCTCTCCATCCTGTCTTTTCATTTTCTCTAGATTTCCTTACCCGCTCCCCTCTCTCATTCTCTCTCCCCCCCCCCCCCACCCCCCCCCCATTTTTTTACTGGTTCATCTACGTATTTTTTTTGCCCCATAACTATCTTTTCCTAGTGGTTGTGTCCACTACACTTGAAATTGTGTGTGTGTAAGGGGGGGGGGGGGGGGGGTAGGTGGCTGTTTTTTTTCTTTGAAGTATCTTGTCTCCCTTCCTGCCCCCCTCTCTTAATCTGTGTTTGTCACTGCCTTCCTTACCCACCTCTCTCTCTCTCTCTCTTGCTTTATGTCTGTTTGCCTCCCTTCATCACTTCCTCTTTGTATACCTCCCTCCCATTCTCCTGCTCTGCCTTTTTTCTCTTTCTTTGGTTCTCTCCCTCTGTCTGCTTGCCTCTCTGTGCTGTCCCTTTGTCTCTCTCTCCTTTATGTCTACATCTCTCTCTGCTTGCATCTGCTTCTCACCCTGTCCGTTCTCTCTCCCTCTGTCTCCCTTCTTTCAACTCTTTGTCATATTTTCCTCCTTCCATATCTCTGTTTCGTTCCCTTTTTCCTTCTCTTTTCATCTGCCCATCTCTGTATTCCCTCTTTCTGTATTTGTCTCCCTCTCTGTCTTTCGCTGTCCCTTCCCCACATTTCCTCATCATGTCTCCATCCCTCCCTCTCATTTTTTCCTCCTTCCCCAGACTTCTTTTCTCTACCTTCATCTGTCCATCTTTACACTGTCTCTCCCAGCCTACCTCAGCATGTGTCTTCCTCTCTCTTCATGACTCTCTCTCTCTCCCCTAACCCTCTCAGGTACCAGGTCCAGAACAGACAGGACTTCAGTTTGCTGACCTCTACCACCAAGCCCTAAAAAAAAATTTCAATCACTATATCAAGCTCAGGGGCCGACGAACACGAAGATGGGCACAGGATATAAGTGACTCCTTGAGTATAGAAAAGTACATGAGGCGGGAGAGCTGGTGAGAGACCGAGGTTTTTTTGTCAGGACAAAGGAAATGCTACATGATGATGATATCTGTGCTGGTATACCAACACATGTGGCACAAATGAAGTACCTTGTGTGCTCAGTACACCCTTGAACAAGGCAAAAATCTTGTTTCAGTATTACACCGAGACAACCTTGAAAAAAACTAAGGAGACCTTGAAAAAGACCTTGAAAAGCCTTGAAATTGATTGGTAAATTTGGCTATGAACCCTGATCTGCTGTTTAATGTGTGGTGTACACGTGTGATCTGCTGTGTAGTGATGTGACGTCTGCACTTATGATCTGATGTATGGGGTAAACCTGTAATTTGATATGTAGTGATGTGTGGTGTGTTTATTTGTGATTTGATGTGTGGTGTACACATGTGGTCTGCTGTGTAGGGATGTGTGGTCTGCTATATAATGTGTGGTGTACACTTGTGATATGCTGTGTATTGATGTGTGGTGTACACTTGTGATCTGCTGTGTAATGATGTGTGGTGAACACTGCTGTGTATTATGGGGAAAATGACTTTGAATAATTATGAAGTAATTATTTCCCTTCAGTAATTTAGTATTGCTCACAGCAAAGATTTGGGGGGGGGGGGGCTGCGTGGCTCCGAGGTATGGTGTCCGCCTCGTGTGCTAGAGGTCCCGGGCTTAGGCCCCGGTGAGGGCTGGGATTTTTTCCATGTGGACTTCTGGTAATTCCCCCTGGTCTCTGGGTAGTGAGATCAGAGGCCCATGTGTATTTTTGCGCACGTAAAAAATCCCTTGGCATTTGAAAATCGTAAAGAATAGCCTTACGGCGCTACCCGGTCAAAATTTGGAGTTAAAATCTACCCATAATATTTCAGGATTCTAGCTTTTGCTATGGAGCCTGTGCTCTGCGCTGAGCTGCTTGAGTTAGAAGTAGAACGAGGCTCTTATGGGTTACTACCCGTGTGCCATGATGTTGATCCTTTAAACTTAAAATTCAAAGATTTTTTTTTAAGGCTCAAGGGTCTGTAGTCATTTAATTATCCCCTATATTCATGATTATTGATTACCCCCCTTCATATATTTCCTTTAAATAAATTTGTTTTAAATGTAAATTAATACTATTTTACAAAAATTTATTATAGACCTGTGATTTTTAACTCTGTGACTGCTACACACTCCGCCAGCCAACATTACCACTGTACTAAGCTAGTTTCTCCCTGATCCTTTCCCGTGTGCTGAATACTTTTCCATCCCCCCCCCCCACACACACACACACACACACACACACAATAGAGGCGTTGGCGGTGCGGGCTATATTTTGTACACCCAGACATATTCACCCTAGGGAAGTGGGTGGTTTGCCCGAGTGTTGACAGGTCAGATGCACTTTGGCAATGCCAAGAAACCTTGCCTTTTCAGAAAGGAAACACTAGAAACTAGATTTGACTGTTGAGAAAGCAGTGGCACAATACTAGACATACAATTTGCCTAGAAAAACCTCAACAGCCTAAAAATGCTGGGGTTGGTTCTGTATTGTCCTGTAAAGAATACACAGGTAACTTTTTAAATGTTTGTCTACAGAATCATGAGCTGGTGATGAAACTCTTCGATGAGAGGGATAAGAATATCGCGGTTGGAGAAAAGGCCATGCGAAGAGTAAGCAGGCAGTTTTTTTCTTTTTCTAGTGAACATCATAAGTCTTCTTCTTTTAACTTTCACTGGCTGTAAACTTCAGCACAAAGTTTTAGTTGTTTAGACAGTGCCCAATTTTTTATGTGTCTGAGAATATATGATCTGAAAAACAGAGGCACAAAGTGTATCTCAGGTCAAAACTAATATTGAATCAAACTCACTTCTTCTTCTTCTTCTGCGTTCGACATCAGTCATGCTAAACATTGAGTCCCGTCTGGGTCACAAATAGGATTGTGTGTTTAAGGTCGCCACCGGTCTCCCATAGCTTCTCTTGCAATGTGGCTCCCTTGGGCCAGATCCACAGTCTTTGCTGGGAGAGGTAAGGGCAGTACTCTAGTATGTGTCTTTCTGCTCCACAATCACAGGCAGCAGATTCTTTTATGCCTATCCTGTACCGGTGTGCTCGAAGACCATAGTGTCCAGTCCGAAGTCTAAAAATTGTTGTTTGTTCTTTTCTGTTGAGTTTGTTTATGCTGTCAAGCTCACTAACAGAATACTAATATTTCTCTATCTTCATTTAGAATCATCAACAGCCTTGCTGACTTGCCTGTCCACAACTTGTGATATCCAATAGCATGTATTAGTTGACATGCTGACACCATACCATGTCATGGGATGAGACTGTCAAGAACCTTCTCACATTGTCTTCTGTCTGTCTTTCTGTAAATCTTTCCAGCTATCAGAACATTTTCCAATTCCTTTTTTCTTATAATGTGGCCAGAAAATGTTATGTCGCTTTAGTTGTTTGTGATGAGCTCAGGTATTTGATAATGGAAGATATCTAGGTTACTAATTTTTGGCTGTCCAGGGAATTTATGTCATTCTTTACTGTTAACGTTTCACAAAAATGTTCACATGAAACGTTTCACAAAAATGTTCACATGAAACCATGAAAGTAAATATTCTTCATCCAGAGCTGGTGTGAAGGTTCCTGTGGGGTTCGACTCTAGCAATCTACATCTTTGAATGTGTAACACTAGCTGCAGACGTTTTTCTTCTTGTAGAATTGCGATATTTGAAAGTTACTTGAATTAGTATTACAGAATGTTTTTTTTTTTCACTTTCAGATGAAAATACTTGACACTAATTGGAGGAAAGCTGAAGCAGAAGTGAAGAAGTTTGACGAACTAGTGGAACAAATTAGAGAGGTAATGTTTCATTGTAGAGTTTATGACTGATAGTTGAGAAATGTGTTTCGGGCTGTATATCTGTGATCTAAGTCAAGAAATTCAAGACTGGGGACTGAGAACTTTTCCCATATGGTACCCTCTCAGTACATCTTCTTTCCTTGGGCAGTTGACACATGTTCTTGTGGCTTAAAGCTAGGCTGTGATATCTTAACCTTTTGATCCAATAAATCTGACTTAAGCATTACCTTAATTAGTCACTTTTTACAGTGTGCTTGTTTAGGGCAGTGGGTTTGTTCTTTCAACTCCCAACAATGGGAGCTCTGGAGCCCACACAGGGAAAACTGCCATATGAAATTATTCTTTCTTGCTGTGAGAAGGCTTATAAATTGGCCTATTCTCTATGTGGAAACTAGGGCCCTATTGTGGGGGAGGGGGGGATAGACCCACTGCCCCCTCACACACATGTCGTAAGAGTTGACTAATTAGGGGTATTTCCTTCAAAGTCAGAGTGCAATCTGCCTGAGAGGGGAGGAACCAACAGTTTGCATACAAATAAGCTAGATCTGTAAATGGGATGTTCGTGGAAAAACTCTGGAAGATTCTGGAACAAGACTAAGGTCCAGAAGTGGATGAACAACCAGAACTTTCTGCCGGAGTGTACAGCTGGCAAACATGAAGGAGAAGAATTAGCACATGTCTAATTTAATCTGAGTACAGATTTGCACATACAAACTGCCATATGACATAATTCTTGTTTCTTTGTCACCAGACTTGCATTAGTAGCCAAGCACAGTCGACCCATCCAGTTATCCTGCAAGTGGTTCGATTGATTGATGGAGTTGAGTAGATGACCAACCACTCCCCCACTGCTGAGACAGCCACATACATATTTCAACTCTTGAAAGTTGTGGGGGTTTCCCATGTTTAGTACAAGTGCCTCTCTTTTTTCCCTCTCCTTTCATAATACTGGACAAGTTTAATGGCTAGTTACTTCTCCTGTTTAGTGATACAGTGAGGATAAGTAAAAATTTTGGAAATTATAACAATGTCATAATAGAATTACAAGTTTATCGAGGTTTGGTGGTCACTATAACTGGACTCTGGTCACAAATGTTTGGAAATCTTGGCAGTAAAGATTGGTCTCATGTCTTTTACAAATTTACTCTTTGATCTTTGTACCTGATGTTTTTATGTTTCCAATTTTTTTTTAATGTATGATGTACAATATACTTGGGGATCAACTGAATGCTAATGGTGGTTTTATTGTGTTGTGTTGTGACCAGTTCTTGTACCATACTACATTTATTTTACTCAACAGATAACTGCTTGTATATGGAGCCAATTGCAGTTACAGTTTTATAAATGCTGTGTTGTATTTTTTGTACTCTGGGTGTTGAGGTTGTGGAAGGGCTTATTTCAGGACCAGACCCTGTGATTGCAATGTTACATTCTGTGAGGCTTATTTTAGCCTGGATTTTATGATTGCAGTATTTCTTTCTGTGAGGCTGGTTTCAGTCTAGATTCTGAATGCAGGGTCAGTCACTGTCTGAACCTTGTTTCAGGTCTGATTGCTATGTTACGTTCTGCCAACCTTGTTTCAGGTCTAATTGCTATGTTACGTTCTGCCAATCTTGTTTCAAGTCTAGACTCTCTGATTGCAATGTTACGTTCTGCCAACCTTGTTTCAGGTCTGATTGCTATGTTACGTTCTGCCAACCTTGTTTCAGGTCTGATTGCTATGTTACGTTCTGCCAACCTTGTTTCAAGTCTAGACTCTCCGATTGCTATGTTACGTTCTGTCAACCTTGTTTCAAGTCTAGACTCCCAAATTGCTATGTTACGTTCTGCCAACCTTGTTTCAAGTCTAGACTCTAATTGCTATGTTAAGTTCTGTCAACCTTGTTTCAGGTCTAGACTATGTGGTTGCAAATATGCTACATTAAGGCAAACCTTTTTAGCCAGACAGAACAACAGTGAAATGTAAACTCTAAGAACCACTGAATGAACTAAAAAAGACAGTGAAATTTATATGAGACAAAATTACTGACATAGACAACTTATTTCAGGGAAACAAAAGAAGAAATAGATACAGTGGGCCTTTAAAATAAAGTTTATTGCTAGGCTGGTCTGTCAATTATTGCAGTGTCCATAACTTTTTGTGAGGTTAGTGAATTTCAGTAAATCTTGTCACCAGTAGAGACTGATTTGGAATCTGTTGAGACTTTCAATGGGGCTTGTTTGAGGTCAAGACTGACTGCAGTATCAGTGACTGCATGAAGCCTGTTTCAGCTGTAAACTCTCTGACTGCAGTATCAGTGACTTCATGTGGGGCTTGTTGCTGTTCAAGTCTCTAAATGATCGCAGCATTACTGACTTGCTGTGAATCTTGTTGCCACTACAGACTCTGTGATTGCAACGTCAGTGGTACTTTCTGTTAGGCTTGTTTCATTTCTGATCTGTCTAATTACTAATGTCAATCTCTGTGTGAGGTTTGTATCAGCAACTAACCTGTTAGCAGCTTTCTCTGTAAATTGCAATCAGACGGCTACTGGTGCCATCAGAATTGGAACTCTTCGCTTGCTGCTGAAGATGGGGGGGGGCGGAGCACTTATGGGAGTGTCCCGAGTGCTGTGATGTTTATTCTTAATTCAACATTCATTTTGTTTATTGCAGTGTCAGGCTCTGCTTAGTTCCTTGACTGTTGATCTTTTTTTTTCGTCTTCCCCATTTGCATGCTCCATTTCTTGGCTGTTCTCCAGACATACCTTAGCCGTTCTCCAGACATACTTAGCCGTTCTCCAGACATACCTTAGCCGTTCTCCAGACATACCTTAGCCGTTCTCCAGACATACCTTAGCCGTTCTCCAGACATACCTTAGCCGTTCTCCAGACATACCTTAGCTGTTCTCCAGACATACCTTAGCCGTTCTCCAGACATACCTTAGCCGTTCTCCAGACATACCTTAGCTGTTCTCCAGACATACCTTAGCCGTTCTCCAGACATACCTTAGCCGTTCTCCAGACATACCTTAGCCGCTTTCCAGACATACCTTAGCCACGACACACATGGTGTGCAGGAATTAAATTTCAAGACTTTGACATATTTTGAGACCACAGACATAGCCATAATCACCAGCAACACAAGACAAGACTGGGTCACAAATAACAGCATTAGAGAGAAAGTTTGCAAGACAATACAATGACAAGACCATGCCTGAATTATATTGACAGACAGAGAATGAAGTGGTTTAGCTGCCTAGTACAGATGCAGCCAAACCAAACCGTATAAGATCTTCTACCGCAAAACATCTAAGCAAGAAGAACCCTAGGAAGGAGATGGATACAGGGCTTAGCTAAAACCTGCAACAACAACAAATAAATAAACACACCTACCTCCCGCAAAGCACAAGAGAAATTGAGAAAACTGAAACAGGACTACAAACTGATAACATTATAAGAACAAAAGAAGAACAAGAAATTTTGATATGTAAGAAAATAGATGCAGTTGATACAAAAAGTGCACACATAGTCTGTTACTACATTTTGTTTCAGAATGTGTGTATCCCCAAAAGTAAAAGATTTAGGTATACATTTACAAAGATACTTCCAGTAATGATAATAATTTTTTTTTTTAAATATTAAAATAATAATAATATAGCTGCATGAAAGTTGGTGTGTATGTTTTGATTGTTATATAGCTTGTGACTGGGACTAACATTTTAATAAGAAACTGATGTTGTCTAAGTTGTGCATGTAAATGTTTCTGTGTGCAAGAAAATCTCCAGGCTGTTTGTTTGTTTGTTTTTGTGCATTTCTGTGGCTTAAAGATTTGTGAATAAATGTCACCATTTCATGATCCTCTGGTACTAGGGTTTCGACTTCCATTTTAAAAAGATGATTCTCACGGCTTTCAGACACTAATGGGAGAAACATACTGTGAAAGAGACTGGGGATTCGCAGTGTTATATTCTCAGAAACAATGGTGGTTGCACTGTTCTTCTTCTTCTTCACTTCCTCTTTTACCGCTGTGGGTGTTGAGGGAGATATAAGGTTCTGTCTCTAGCTCTTCTGGCTGCCTCAACCATAGGCACATCGTGCTGTTGTTGAGTTTTTCTGATGTTATCCTTCCATCTTGTTCTTGGTCTACCTCGTGCTCTACGTCCTTCTTCTCTTATATCTCATTGTGATTTCTGTAGCGATAATAAATCCATTGCCGGCTTGCTAGGCCTGTCGCAACTTCGCCAGAGCCCCGTTGGCCAGGACGTTTTGGGGTGACCCAGGGTGGACCTCATGGCTACCGTAGCGGTCCCATGGCACGAGGCCACACCATACTTGCACTGTTGACAGCCTTTCCAGGGGAAATAGCAGATGCAGTGTGTTTTTTCCTTCAAATTTATTTGTGATGATATGATGGGTATAAATAATTGTAATAGATGGTCAGGACAAACAGTCTTAGTTTGGTCAGTGAATGAATAGAAGTAATGTCGGCGTCTGTGGCTTAGGCGTTGTGAACATGCTTTGTAATGCTGGGTTCGATCCCAGCTGCAGGCCTTGCCCTGGTTTCCACAGTGGTATTGAGAGAAAACCGTCCCCAAAGCAATGGCAAACTGCTGGATGTAAATTTGCCTAGAAAAACTACAACAGCCAAAAAATGCTAGGGTTGGTTCTGCAATGCCCTGTAAAGGATATGCAACTAACTTCAATGGTAACTATACAAACAGGCATTCTGGAATATGCCATGAAGTGGGTGCTAGGTCTAAAGCAGAGGTTCTCAACCTTCCTAATGCTGTGACCCTTTAACACAGTTGTGGCCACCCCCAACCATATCATTATTTTCATTGCTACTTCAAAACTTTAGTGAATATGTGTTTTTCATTGGTCCTTGGTGACCCTTGTGAAAGGGTCGCGACCCACAGTTTGAGAACTGCTCATCTAATATTGCCATTTTTTTTTTTTACACGTTGGTAACAGCAGGCAACAAATGTATAAGGACTCTTTCAGGCCATTGATGAGTCAGGCATAGAGTGCTGGGACTACAAAGAAGACAATTCCGTTATAATTCACACAGATGGTAATATTACAATTAATTACGTGTTCAACTGGAGATCTGTTTGTAACTGCTGCTTCCGTTGATGATCATCTTCATTTCAAGCGACGGACTGTGTTAGCACTTTTTATGGCTGCCTCATGATTTAAAGCATGTGTATGCTGGTGGATATGCACTTGGTGTACATGCTGAGACAGCAGCCTGTGTCCACTTTTCCCGCAAGGGACAGTGATGGAGATTCTATATGTTTTTTTTTTCATTAGGATAGGAGCGCAGCGATTATGGAGGTGACCTCTGTGCTAAGAAGCTGAAACTAAGATTGCCAAAATAAATCGGCACTTGCAGAATGATGTAGTAAAAAACATCACATTGACCGCTTGAATTCTCAGCACATGCTCTGGTACCATTTTTAGAGTTGACCTGGGAGCCTAGGTCATTTATGTCTTTTTCTTCACCAGCTGTAAACTCCAGCAGAAAGTTCTGGTTGTTTGTCCACTTCTGTACTGCAGTCCTGTTTCAGTACCTGAGTGTCGCGTGTGCATCCGTTTGACAGATCAGACTCATTTCCATGTAGACTGTTGGTTCTTTGCCTCTCAGGCTGATGCACCCCGATTTCGAAGGAAGCTCCCAACTAGTTGACTCTTATGACATGCTTTTGGGTAGGCAGTGGGTCTATTCTTGTTTTCCCTATAACTGGGCCCCCGAACCCACACAGGGAAACGGTGTTAGACAAGGGGATATTCTCTTACCTTACCTCTTCATTCTTTTTGTGGATGATGTCATCAAGACCTGTAAGGAGA